CATTTACAATTATGAATATTAATGAGGTCGGTCACAGTGCAAATATTTTTTTTTGTTTGAGTCAACACATGTTTCATAATTTAGAATAGTTTGAATTGAAAAAATGAAACAATTTGGAAGTGCATGCAGATGTATGATTTTTTTTGTCTTGGGTTGTATTAAAATCCTATTTTACTTAACACAACACTGTGTACTGGTAGTTTTCATCTTCCTCTACCAACCTCTATTTATTCAGCCATCACCTCGTTGCTGTGTTTTTGCACCTTCTTTGGCAATTTAATATCCAGTTATTTTGTTTTATCTTCATTGCTTGATGCTATGGTAACTGAATAGATGCATGTTTTAAAGGCACGTCCAATCAGATTTATGTATTTTATAGGTCAAATAAGTGACCTCTCGGTAGAATCATACACTGGCTCTTGGGGAAGTATCTTGGGAAGTATTTTTAGAAAAACAAAGCTATTTGGGCTGTGTTATACGTAAACTTTCATAACTAGACATTTACTCAAGTATTGATCCACCAATACTCTGATCTAATCTTCCCCTTTTCTCTACACTTACTTTAAAGATATCTGAACCAGAAAAGGAAAAAGAAAAAAAAAAGAAAAAGAAAAAGAAGAAAGAAAAAACAAAAGAGAAAACATCTGATTCTTCAGATTCAGATTAATATATGTGATGTCATAATGTGTAGATGTTTGAATGAAGCAATTATCATTGGGAAAGGTAACGGACAGAAAAAAAAATTCTGTTACAAGTTTCAGATTCAAGGGCTTTTTTTTTTAATCTATCTGCACACACAACCTGTGTAATTAACATTTGTGCCACTGGTAAGTTGTACACAGCTGGCAGATATTACTATTTTTAGCATTTGAGAATCGTGCACAGGGTGACTGCTGTTCAGTCTACAGCTTGCTCTGGAAATCACATCAAGTTCCCTGCATCCCATGCTTGTGAAAAAAACAAAGCATTTGTTTGTACACTGGGAATTAGGATTTATTATCATTGTCTGTTATTTCTTGAAAAAATATTCAAGAACGAGTATGGAACTCGAGTTACTGACTAGTACAAAGTTGGACTAGCAGTGACAAGTTGGAATTAAATTTGTAAACTTGTGCTCCAGTGACTTTGTTTTCGTTAAAAATATTTTGTAACTTAAAAATTTGATTCAAATTGATCAATGTGAATTGATGTCTCCTAAAAAAGGTACACATATTGTATATCAATCCTTTTTCAATCTTTGAAATCAAAGAATTTTAATACATTTAAATTAGTTATCTGTACGGATTAGGAAGTCAATTGTCACATTGCTCATATGTGAATGGATTATAATATTAATTGAATTTAGGATTAACATGAATTTATATTGAATAGGATCATTTTGTGGAAAGATGCTTAATTTCTAAATTATGAAAATAATACACAAGGTGTCAGTTATTTTATAGTATGAGCTTATAATTTGATGCAATTATGTTTGAAATTATCGCCATTGTACAAGCTCTCGGATTCTGAGAAAAGAATCTTTTTTTTCTTTTCAATGAATGTGAAATTACTAGTGACAAAAAAGCACATTTTGGTTTCTAAGAGTCAGCTTGTCACTAAGAAAATTGATCTTAAAAAAAAATGTTGTCAGTATTTTTCCCTATCTTTGAACTGAACTATGATTTTAGTTGTATCTTATCAGTCTATGCCCCTTGTGAGGAAATCTATTCCGTTGTTAGTATGATTTCCTGCATGCTTTACTGAAGACTGAACTCAATTTGATACATATCCAATGTGAATAAAAGTTTTATATTAAAGTCTTTGATTGATGTACGTTTTCTGGTGATGCAGTGTGTACAGGAATGGTACAAGGTTTGGGCCTTGTAGAGTTGAATCTCTATAATTTGTGTTTGACCAAATGTACTAGTATATCAGAAATGAACTATCTAGAAGTCATTGTGGTTCATGCAGATGAAAACTACACCACTTTCATTTCTCCTGTAACTGAATTGAAACACAAAAGTGGTCTTGGGGGTCAAGATTTGAAATTTTCCCTTGACTATTTTTGTTGTAGGGCAACCAAAGGGCAATGAAATTTACACAAAATGACACAAAAATCTCACTATTGCATGGTTCAGTGTTGTATTATCATTGTGGCTACGTTTTTGCTGAAACCTGTTTTTTGACTGACTTGGTATCCACGAAAGATTGCCAGTTTTTGTGAAAGGTGATTGACCTTTGCGCTCAAAGGGTTGAACACAAACTGCCATGTTGCTTTTGCGACATGTTCAGATTTCGATGAAACTTTGTACCTAGGTGCTCTCAGAAAGTTGTCGGTTGAAATCTGTGCATATTTTTATAATTGTGAAATCCAAGCTTTTTCATTTGTATCTTGAGAACCACCGAGCAGAAAAACAACTTTTTAGTCAAATCAATATGCTTTTAGACTTGCCACAAATTGCAACAAAGACTTAATCATAATGGCAGCAGATCACAAATGACCCTCTAAATTCCCAAAATCTTGCATAATGTAGTGGAAAGGTGTTTATTCACTCGTTGCCCCCCAAAGTCAAAGGTTCTTTGAGTCTGCGGTTATGTTGCACGAATTGAACTCCTTCAATTTAATGAATGAAAACATGTGTGCTGGCTTGTGCCAATATCTGTTCAGTCATTGGGGAGTAAGTATACCTGTGCACTATAGTAACCATGCAAAACAAATGTCAACTCCCTAGCTTTTTTAAATCATGATTGTGTAGAGCAGGTCTTCACTATTTTGTATCAAATTTTACTTTATTAATTTCCTACATTTTTCATATAGTGTATCAATTTAATTTGTTTGGAAATGAAGTTTATTTTAATTTTATTAAAAAATTGCACTAAATCATCTAATTTTAATAATCACTGCATAGTGAGTTTTGAATGATTAGAATTCAAAGATCTAACATTAAATGAATTTTTTTTTTCAAACAAACTAAATTGTTGCACTATTTGTGTTAAGGTATGAAGTATCGAATAAAATAACATTGATGAGTAATCTGTTCCACATGAGCATGAATTAAAAAAGCTTAGAGAGACGACACATTTGCTTTGCATGGATGCCATGGTTAATATACAGGGCATTTCCCGAAAGTGTGCACTTTGAGTGTCTCCAGACATTCCGCTTTGTGTTTTTTTCAAGACGAAATGAAATTGTTTAGTTCTGAATCATTTTTGATGTAGGTAATGTCTTATTCTGCCACAAATGTGTTTAACTACATTTGTGTATTTCTATTTTGGTGTATATGTAAAAGTGCTAACTTACGTTTGCTTCAAAACAGGCCACATTTCCCTGGACTGAATCAATTGAATTTCCAAGCATACATGAATGTTCTTATTAGTAGAATGAGTGGTGATAGGATTACATCGTTTGATTGTCAAACGTCTTTGGTACAGACTGGTTGCATGTTTTAATACCAATGATGTTCGGCAGCAGGAATTCCCCAACTCCCAAAACAGAGTTAAACAGCTGATATGCAATTCACATTGGCATGTCTTTTCTTTGATGCTAAATAGTGTTAAAGAAGGTCTTTACCACGCTTGCAATAATCCATTTATTGCAATATGTAGCCTTTCCATCATTTACAGCGAGCGCAAGATATTTACATACACCTCACTCCCGTAGGCGATTACCGAGGGACATTGCAATATCTCAAGACACTCCAATGACTGCTGTAGACGCAATAAAGTTCATACACTGCTCACGTGACAGTTAATCAAAACGCCGGACGCAAGTCTTTTATGTGTGGCCACAAAGAACGAGGGGTAGTTGGAATATTCTATTCCTTTATAGGCACAAAAATCATTGCTGTGTAACACTTGGATGAAATATAATACGAACATAAAACTGGGAATGAATATTACCAAAAAATGATAAATGTAAATTTCTTTGATTGGTAGTTTATTGAGATGTGAGTGTCCCATTAATTTTTTTGTATAATGGCTGGTCCCATTGCCAGTTTTACAGAATACTCATCGCCCAGTTAATCCTTCTCTGGAATCTTTTAATTAGTTTCACCTCCATACCGTCGCCATATACCAGTTTCAAATATCCTTTAGATCTCAGAAAAAAAATTGATAAACTCAACATTCAGCTGACAACTGCCGCTACTCCCCTCGGAACATACGCCGCACAATCCCTTGAATCGTTGCCCTCGCTAGTCCAACATCCTCTGTTGTCGATCATTCACAAGAAGCGAATAATTTCCATCAATGTCTTTGTCTAAACGCTTTGACATAATAGCAATAATTGTTCAAAATCAGAAACTATATTCAAAACTAAACTGTTCTCACAAGGGTAATTTCATTATATGTTATGGGTGTTTTTAAATATTTGTATCAACTAGGTTTATTATTTTCGGGAAACTTTCAAAATACCCGGTAGAAATTATTAAATGAACGAGCATATGTATGCATAAAATAATAAAGTGTCCGATATCAACAATGAGAAAAACACGATTGTCTGAATGGACGCTTACACGTTGTAATAGTTGAACCCATCTGAAACCCTAGGCCGTTGTTGACTGTCACGTATGCATGTATGTAACTTTATTGCGTCTACAACGATCACTGGAGTGTCTAGGAAAGTGTCTGGGGATGTTGCAAAGTCCCTCGGTAATTACCTACCGGGTGTGGGAGTTAGGTGTATGTAAATATCTTGCGCTCGCTGTAAATGCATGCTCGCATAAATAACTTTGAATTTTTATTATAAAACTCACAAATAATTCAGTAATCTCTCAATATTTAATTGACACTTGTTATAAACATAATGTAGAACACTAAAGAAAAAAATATCACTTCAATTGTTTCTGGCAACATTTTAGATTCCCATTTTACAAATTTGGGATCAAATGTACATAATTTGCCATTGGCAACTGACATCAAATTTTTTAAAAAATATGGATTTTTTTTTATGAAAGGTGAAGACAACTCAAAGGGTTGCGAATAATGTACAGGTTGCATTTTAGGACTAAACAAAAACAAAAAAATACAGCAAGGATCACATAGACAGCCTAATTACATTTTATAAAAAACATGGATGTGCAACCGTGATAGCGCAATAAAATCATCATTACAACCACAGATGGTAGAATACTTATAAATTTAAGCAAATAAATAACAATATTCCATGGACAGTATTCTTTTATATAGAGATGTACTTGATGCTAAGATTTCTGCTGTAATCTTCCAAATCTTCAAAGATGGAGTAAACAACAAACACTGCCCAGCTGAACCATGTCTATTTGACTAGGATTTAGACTACCAAATAGAAGAACCCCATCTATGATAACACACAGTCAGTTGTCTTTTAATTGGGTCGATGATAACATAGCAGAAAGTCTGTTCGTGTTCCTTATCATCTGGATATATGCAAAAATTGTCTTTGTCCTGCGGTGATAAGAAATCAACATTTGAATTAATGTGTGACATTTGAAACTGCTGTAATTTATTCCAGCAACTTGTCCTTGTCCTTAAAGGCGCAATATGGTCATAGCTGCATATAGTGACATGTAGCAAGTCTTAACAACAAAAAACAAAAGTTCGCGTCACTTTGAATGGAGATAACAAGAACAGTTTCTCTACCGAATAAAAAAAATAATCAGTATTAAATACTGCATCAAAAACTTCAGTATATTTGAGGCAACAGGCAGGGAATCAGACTTGATGTTCATTGCCAACTGGTAACGAGTCAAAGTAAGTAAGTGTACTTACCATAGCTTTCACTAAAAACACTTGTGAGATGATTTTCAATTCTTTGGACTCTGGATCTTTTTGGACACTAAAAGCAAAATAAAAATTCACATACAAAATATAAGTCCAAAATGCTCAAACACGCATATATAATTCAGATTTTTAATGTTGACTTTTTGAATGCTGTAAATTGTTGTACATGTAAACACGTGTAAATATTTTTTTTTCACAGCCGAAAAAAATCACACTCACACTGATACATCTATGTTACAGCGGGCACAAGATATTTACATACACCTAACTCCAGACACATTCCTAGACACTCCAGTGACCGATGAAGGCGCAATAAAGTTACATGCCCACTCACATGACAGTTAATCAAAACACCAGATGCAGTATAACTTTGATGAGGGGTAGTTATACTATTCCATTTGCTTTGTAGGTACAAAAATCATTGCTGTATAACACTTGGAAGAAATATAATACAAACATGAAACTGGTAATGAATATTACCTCGATAAATGATAAATGTTTGTTGAGATGTTGTCAATGGATTTATATTAATAATATTAGCGTTGTGAGTGTCGCATTCAATTTCTCCCATAATGGTAGTTAATCTTTCCCTGGAATCTTCTACTTAGTTTCACCTCCACACCGTCAACATACACCAGTTTCAAATATCCTTCAAATCTGAGACAAGATTTGATAAACTCAATGAACTTGACGACAGCTGATACTCCTGTTTGAGAGTATCCAACCAATGCAACAGAAATGACGTATAATAGCAATAATTGTTCAAAATCAGAAACTGCATTCAAAACTAAACTCTTCTCATTAGGATAATTTAGAAAACTTCATTATATGTTAGGGCGTTTTTAAATATTTGTTTCAACTAAGTTTATTATTTTAACAAAACGTTCAAAATAGAATTTATTAAATGAACAAGCATATGTATGCATGAAACAATAAAGTGTCCGATATCAACAATGAGAAAAACATGATTGTTTGATGAATGTTTGACTTGACGCTTACATGTTGTAATACCGTAGTTGAACCCACTGTAACTTTTGTGTTTGATTTGTTCATGTGTCTCGGTTTCTAATAATTTCTCAAAATACCAATGACAGTGTTTGTAGCAGAGATTTCACCTACCCCCAAAAATTACAAGTCAACTCAAAGTTGGCAATACAGTTTCCACATGAATGAGGATGTCGAGTTATACACTGACATGTTCAACAAGATTAAAATCTGACAAATAAGTTGAAGTGAATATGTACTCAATTCTGAATGAACCAAACAAGTACTCCTAAAACAAGAAATACTGAAATGTAATTTTTATAATTACCTGATCAGATCTTTGTAAAGTGACTTTGTTGTGTCTAAATACGGCTGTGCATTATCTTCAAACTGACAAACTGGACCACCCAAGCATATATGCTTGAAAAGATGAAACAAAAACTCCTCTCTTTCTTCATCACTGTAAGCTTCGTAATTATCCGAGTCCTCCATCAGCAACATCTGTATGGTAGTGCAACAAAATCAATGATCATAATTAATATGTATGGGTAAATACATACTATTTTTGTATGAAGCTCAAATTCAATATCGGGTCTATGATTAAATCCATGCCAGATACACTATAATTTACCTTTCTTAATTCATCAGATATCTGAAAACCTTCACAATATTCATCAAAACATTTATGTATCTGATCATTCTCTCTTAAAATTCCTTCTGAGTGAAGTCTGTCAAAAAACGTCATGGACAAAATACTGCAACGAATACTCTGTACAGAGACTTTTTCTGCAGCCATGCCTAAAAAGAGAAGTATGTATATTTATTGGTTTTAAAATTTTTTTTTTAAATCTTGCTTTGGTGTATATGATGCCAGTATAATCGGGAGAGAGGTGTCTATGATATAATATATGACTTACCCAGCGGTGCCCATGATCCTGAACTTGATACAACTTGTAATGTGGAGATCACTGTAGGATCTTGAAAGAAATCCTACAGGCAATAATACAGTGTTGAAAACCATGTACAAGGTAAAAAGTAAGCTTAAAAAATAATTCTGGCATTTCATAGATTACTCACTCAACACTAATATTTTGCACAATAAGCATGTAAATTGATTGCAAAGTCATGATGAATGGAACAGTCACTTTAATCACTATGGCAACTATACCGGTAAATTGATTAGTATGTGGGGAAAACTTTTTTGGGAAAATTAGAAACATGATATATTTATCAGCCAATCACGGTCACCCACTGACTTGAGATTGGAGAGTGAGTATATAACCAGCAGAACGGGGTTGAGTACCCAGGCTAGTAGAATAAATTACGTTTGTTTGTTCTATACTCACCAAGAAAAAGTCATCTTTTTGATACGACTGGAAATGTTTATCATAACTATAGTACTGTGTTTTTATTTTTCCTTTTAAGTCCCTGCAATTAAACAAATTTGCATTAATATTATTGTGTACTAATGTACATGACGTAACTATAGCCCTGCATAAAGGAAAGAGTGTTAGGAGTTTGGGATTTTACAGTCAGGCTTGCGGTTGGGGGGGGGGGTGAGCGTATGTTCCTAAAACCCATCACCACCACCCTCCCGACACACAGTCCTGTACAAAAAAAAAAGCTAATTTATTTTTTTGTATTTATATTCACTTCAACGTTAGGGCAGAATATAGGATATATTATGTTTATTTGCGTACAATTTGAAATGATCATTTCCTATTCGTTGGCATATACATTTTATCTGTTACAAATGAGTGACGTAAATACAAGAAAAAAAAAAACTTGCATAAACATGTTGACGTATCGAGTACCGGTACACCACATATTTTCTGATTTCGCTTTGATTATACAATTGTCATGGAAACCCCTAGCATGAACTTGAAGGCTGTTTAAATGTAAACATTATCCGTCACTCAGAGCACGGTTACTAAAATAAACTGTGCTCAGAGGTACATGTATACTGTACTCTGAATAGTTGTGTGTTATGTTGTGCACTAAGCCCTAACTCGGCCCATCGGTCCGACGGAAACGCACAACACTGTACCCGGTACTGTTCCCAGGGTCTGCGTGACAAAAAAATAGCTTACCATTTCATTAACAAATCTTGAGTATCTTTACTTTCCAGCGTTGAACACTTTTTTCCTTTCAACTCGCTGAACGAGAACTTTCCACCTGCAGATTCCGCCATAAGCCCTGAGTACAGTCCTGTAGGTTGGCCTTCTTCCGCTGATCATTCGGTCCCCACAGTCCTGAGAAGTCGCATAGACTGAGGATTCGACACCCGCCTACAAATTTATGGCGGCGAGCCTTTCTGCAGTTTCATGATTGTATCAGCAAAC